CAAGGAGAAATAAACAACAACGTACAAAACGATTAAACGAGAATAAATAGGCCAGCCAAAATATAAACCAACCGACAATATTCCAACAAGGAGAATAAAAACCAGCAGAAAAGTTACGTCATATGAATCAAATATGAATCTAAGGTTTATGGAGCAGTAGCAACATAAAAAAAATTAAATGTAATAAAATAAAATGAAAGAAAAAAATTCAAAAATTTGAACTTTTTAAATGAAATCATCTCCATACACGCCATATGAAGTACAAAAAAATAGATTTCGCTATTGCAACAAATCAATCATGGCAAATAAGCTTCTTTCAACCAATTTGAAACTATTTATAAGACGGATTGAATCTCCGCTTACGCGTTACTAGCGCGAAATATATCGCGCGTTATTTGTCAAAAATTGGCCATATTGGCAAAATTCAAATCTCCATAACTTAAGGAAAAATGATCACAGGTAAAATTATTTTTTCATATTGGAGCTTAAGATAAAAATAATTTTTGGGTTGATAGAATTTTGTCAGCAATTTTTATTTGAAAAGTCGATATTTGTCTGAGAAAAAACTGCTCAATAACATAAAACTACTTGAATGAAAATCACATCGACAAATCAGTCAATTGGCTTACATTCAATAGTTTCACTAATCCGCATCAAAAATATATTGATGCACAGCAGCAACTAAAATTAGAAAAACTCAGAAAATACTAACAAATGACAAAAGCAAAAAGACTGCTCGTATCAGGACCAAGCCTTGAATGTTCCTAATGCATTTAAGGTCTATGGAGAAGCAATAAATTAAATGTAAGGAAATGAAATGAAAAAAAAAACTAAGTTTTGAATTTTTTAAATGAAATCATCCCTCCAAACGCCATATAAAGTACAAAAGAATAGATTTCACTATTGCAACAAATCAATTATGGCAAATAAGCTTCTTTCAACCAATTTGGAACGATTTCTAAGACGGTTTAAGTCTCCGCTTACGCGTTAATAGCGCGAAATTTATCGCGCGTTAATTGTCCCAAATTGGCCAAAATGGCAATCTTTAAACCCCCATAACTTTACAAAAAAAGATCACAGGTGAGATATCTTTTCAAATTTAAACTCAAGACAACAATACTTTTTGTATGTTTTAAAATAGTTTTGTCAAAAATGGCTAGTTGAAAAGTCAAAAATTGTCTGAAGAAAAAAACCCACCCCGAGCACAAACATTTCGTTACTTTTGTATCGAAATTCGGAACAATAACGTATTTTCGGCTTGTTGTTCCGACTTTTGATAAGAAAGTGCCGGAATATTTGGCTCGGAGTGGATTTTTTTCTTCAGACAAATTTCGACTTTTTAACTAGCCATTTTTGACGGATTATTTTATATCATTAAAAAGACCATATTCACTTGTGACCATTTTTGTAAAGTTTTGAAATTCCCCCTTTTTCCAACAATTCATTTCTTTTGTGTCACATGCTATTATGGATAGTGAGTGATCTTACGATGTTCATGATGAAGTCTAAATATATTTAATCAATACGTTTGTTCATATGCAACACTTCATCACTGTATCGTAACATAAAAAAAATTCGAAATCGAAACTTGGATTGTGAAAGATCCAAGCTTTTTTGCATATTATAATAACATTTTTGCAAGCATGTATTGAAAACAAAAGATAAGATTCAATATGAGAATATGTACAGAAGACAATTTTGAACGAGAATGAATCTGTACTTTTTAGACGTCTTTTTTTTTAAACGGTATACGAAATGCCGTTTGGACTATGCTGCAAGGAGAAATAAAAAACAACGTACAAAACAATTATACGAGAATAAATAGGCTAGCCGAAATATAAACCAACCGACAATATCCCGACAATGAGTATAAAAGCCAGCCGAAAAGTTACGTCATATGAATCAAGTTTGCAAAATTTTTCTAACTATTTTTTACTTGTCACATAACTATTATATAACAAACAAACTGCTCGTATAAGGGCGAAGCCCTGAAAGTTCCGGCTGCTTTTTAAGGTTTATGGAGCAGTAGTAACTTTAAAAAAATTAAATGTAATAAAATAAAATGAAAAAAATTTTGAAATTTTTTTATGAAATCATTGCCCCACATGCCATATAAAAGACAAAAGAATAGATTTCGCTATCGCAATAAATCAATTACGGCAAATAAGTTTTTTTCAACCAATTTAGAAAGATTTCTAAGACGGATTTAAGTAGTATAATGTGATGGAGCAGTTTTTCTTAGAAAAATTATCGACTTTTCAATTAAAAATTATTCAGCCGAAATTTATTTTTATCCTAAGCTCGAATATGATTTTTTTTTACCTGTGGTCAATTTTCATAAAGTTATGGGGGTTTGAATTTTTCCATTAAGGCCAATTTTTGACAAGTAACGCGTGATTTATTTCGCACTATTATCGCGTTAGCGCAGATCTATTCGGTCTTAGAAATTGATTCAAATTGGTTGACAGAAGCTTATTCGCCATAATTGATTTGTTACAAGGAGCGAAATCTATACTTTTGTACTTAATATGGCGTTTGTGGGGTTAATTTTTATAGAGAAAATTTTATTTTTTTTTAGAATTTTTTTAAATTTCGTTTAATTTGTTAAGGATATTTAGGTTAATAATGCTCCATAAACTTTAAAAGTCAGTCGGAACAATCAGGGCTTCGCCCTGATACGAGTAGTCTTGTTTAAATTGTAGCTAGTTGATACTTCGGCTGGTTTAAAAACCACCGATTATGGATCAAGAAAGAAAGAGTCTTTCATTCAAATGATGATGAAAATGAATTTTATGAGTTCTAATTCGTGAGTGCATCAATGTTAAAGTTTGTGTGAAATTGAAAAAATTTTAGCTGAGGGTTTTTGTTCCGACTTTCTAAACGAAAGTAACGGAACATTTTTTCCTTTCAAAGACTCCAATTTGATATCTAACCATGCTTTAAAGAATCTTGAAGCATAATTTTGACGCTTGTCAAGGCCTAAGATCAAAATTAAAAAGATATTTCACCTAACAGTTTTTTTGGATCTGCTTAACAATCTCCACCCCTTTCAAAGTAGATCAAAGTGTACGATTTTTCGACCAATCAGAATACAGCAAAGTTAGAAAAAACAATAGAAAGCTCAGTGCTAATTTACTGTATTTATCTATAGGGGTGGAGATTCTTAAGTAAGTACCATAAGAAGGAGATTGTTAAGTAGGTCCGTTTCTTTTTCGTAGTGGGCTTACAACGGTAATTTTGACTTACGAGGAACAAGATACCGACACAAGATATCGAAACTTTAACAACACGTTTTGCGACTTGTTCGAGTTTTCCTTCAAATTCCTGGGCCGGACTTCCAAAAAAAAAACGTTATGATAGTACCTTAAGAGACAATTATTTGCTTAAAACAAAAAAATTTATGAGACAACTTTCAATTTGAAATGATACGATAAAAAATTCTTTCAGTATAAACATGAATTGCTTTTAAGTAATCAATAACTATTTTATGTGTTGCCTCACGTTAGTCGAGTTTACGTTCATTAAATTCAGTAAAAGCTATGGCCTCTGAGTTTTTGGTAATTTTATCGAATTTCCTGCAAAACGGTACTTTTCTTGCAGTAGGTTTTTTTTCACCAAAATTTGTTTATTGATAAACAGAAAGAAATTGCTCATTGACTGGATTTTTTTAATTGAAAGTTTATTGTTCCGAATTTCGGAACAAAATTAACGGAAAATAAATTCTCGGGGTGGTTTGTTTTTTTTTCTCCAGATAAATATCGACTTTTTAACTAGCCTATTTTGACGAAACTTTTCAATATCTTTCGAAAGGTATTGTTGTTCTGAGCTGATATTTCAAAAAAAACCTAAGATCAATTTATGGGGTATCATTTTCAATTGATATTCGAGAAGTTATGGGGGTTTTAAATTTGCCAATTTGGATAATTTTCGACAAGTAACGCGCGATATATTTCGCGCTATTAACGCGTAAGCGCAGATCTAATCCGTTTTAGAAATTGTTCCAAATTGGTTGACAGAAGCTTATTTGCAGTTATTGATTTGTTACAAGGAGCGAAATCTATTCTTTTGCACTTTATATGGCGTGTGGGGGAAGATTTCATAAAAAAAATTCAAATTTTAGTTTCTTTTTTTTTTTCATTTTATTTTACTACATTTATTTTTTCAAGTTATTGCTTCTCCATAGACCTTAGAAAGCATTAAGAACATTCAAGTCTTGGTCTTGATACGAGCAGTCTTGTTGCTTTTGTCATTTGTTAGTATTTTCTGCGTAAGTCGAATGAGTTTTTCTAGTTTTAGTTGCTGCTGTGCTTCAATATCATTTTGATGTGGATTAGTGAAAATAATGAATGTAAGCCAATTGACTGATTTGTCGATGTGTTTTTCACTCAAGTAGTGTTATGTTATAGAGCAGTTTTTTCTCAGACAAATATCGACTTTTCATCTAAAAATTGCTGACAAAATTTTATCAGCACAAAAACTATTTTTATCTTAAGCTCCAATATGAAAAAATAATTTTACTTGTGATCATTTTTCGTAAAGTTATGGGGGTTTGAATTTTGCCAATATGGCCAACTTTCGACAAATAACGCGCGATATGTTTTGCGCTAGTAACGCGTAAGCGGAGACTTAAACACTCATAGAAAACGTTCCGAATTGCTTGAAACAAGCTACTTTTCATAATTTTTAGGTTACTAGAAGCGAAATCTATCTTTTTCTACTTCGTATGGCGTAAGGTGATAATTAAAAAAACTCAAAGTTTTTGAATATTTGTTATATTTTTGTTTTTCGAAAAATTCATCTTTATGTAAAAGCGAGCACTGCTTCATAGACCCTAAAAGACAGACGGAATATCCAAAGCTTTGCCCTGATACGAGTAGCAGTTTTGTTTCAATTGTGGAACAACCGGTATGATTTCGTAGAAGTGTGGGCTTCTTTGCAGTTCTTAATCTTGCAGAAAAAACTGTTGATACTTGTTTACTAAGTAGTAGTGATAGATCGAATTTCTGGAGAATACAAAATTATCCCAGGCTCAAATCTTAAAAGAGTTAAAGCAGCTTTTTATTTTTGCCTCTATTTACAAATTTACAATGCAAAGGAAATCAATCAGTTTTCAATGTCACGTGTGTACGTTTTCTCGTCAATAGGTTTCACTTACCCAATTCTAGTCTGTTAGTGACTTTGTTTTCGATTAGTTTTTTCAAACAGTTTTTAAGTCAAATTTTTCGTATACTCATCTATCGAATGAGTTGTTTGTACGTTTGTTTTAGATTTCAGTTTCCTCTTTGCATATATGTCTGATGGATCCGTTTGCTCTCTCCATTCACTTATTGTTGAACTTGGCCTTGAGCACTTCTGTCTCCTTGGAAGTCAGCCACTTCCTCTCATTCGTGGACCTCACGAAGGCATAGTAGCGACCAGTGTCTGGAAAACAGACCACATCATTAATAACAAGGAACGAAAACTTTGTGATATATACTGTATGAGGCCAATGAGCAGAATTATCTATGATCACAACGGTAAGACATTATTAACAGAATTACAATTACAGAACTGAAAACTTTGCGGCAATGGCCCGTCAACGCTTCGCCCCATCACCACAAGGTGTTTTCACACACAGTTCATGTGTCGGGACTAGCAGACGCGTAACACTTTTCAGCCCCATTTCATTATACATCGGTAGACTGTCCTCATATTGAATATTGACCCCCCGGTTCAGTTGAAAACTGCCTTGGGGGCCTTGTTTTATCTTTACCTAGTCAACTGTCCAAATAAATTGATGATTATAAAATTGGAGGTGTTTATTATATTTACTTGGGTCCTGGGCCATTCCGTCGAACCTCTGGAGTGCTTCTGCGTCAACTGGCTTCTCTGGTTTCGGCTTCACCTGCAACACCTGCTTTTGTGTCAGATCCACATCCGGTTGTCTTTGCACCGCGGCTGCTGGTTGTCCCGCCTGTCGCCCTGCCGGAAGCGCTATCGGCGCAACCACCGGCGCTTTAGCCTTGGCAGCCATTTGTTCTCTGCCCACCTGGAACTGTTTCTGGTCAGACACTTTGACGTCTGCTGGCAACTGGGCTGTAGTATTGGAGCGGTAGTTGCGCGCCTTCGACTCAGACAGAGGACCTAGAGAGAAAGAATTAGTTGTCATCACAAGAGCTTGTTTTTTTTTTCTTCAGGTGTGTACAATTTAAGGCCAGCAAACTAAGGCCACTCTACGCTTCCATCAATATTGTTTAACTCACATTAAGCCATCAAGCTATCATTAGTTTAATTGAGTTTTTGGGTGGGGTCACTTTTTTCGCCTTCACCTGCTGTGGTCCTTCTGGAAGATGCTTGGGGTGTCTTCCCTGGTCCGCTCTTTCCTCCGGCGATGGTTCTCGTCTTGGTCGCCCCTCCTGCACTCCTGGGCATGGCCCTCCTGTGTCTGAAGAACATGAACCATACAAGGAGTGCGATTGCCACTATGACCACTATGGCGAACACCACAGAGACGGAGATGACGGCCACTCCAGTCGGGTCATCGAAGATATCGTCCCGTTGGTCCTAAACTCACATTTCGCCTTGAACATTGTCCATTTGGAGATTGGAAACTCTCTTTCTTATATATCCTAAGAACAGGTAAAACATCGGTGCTATTCTGTAGACGTGAAGGACAAATTTTCAGTTTAAATAGTCAGATTGTTGTTTTTCAGAAACTGATTTGAAGTGCAAAAGAAAATCTTTCTTTAAATGCAGCATTGTACAATCTAACTTCTTTTGAATTGGTTTTGAAATGAAAAGAAAGCAAATGGCGAGAATGAATGATTTGTTACTTCATATGGCTGAACAGAGAGGACATCGAAGTCATTGAACCCAGAGGACAGGAGAGCGTCCACGGGGTCTCCACTGGAACTCCTCTGGAAGATGGCCAGGATCTCCTCCTGACTCAACATGTTCACCTCACTGCCCTCAGTCCCGTTGGCCAGTCCATTCTGGTTCCGCACTCCAGTGATGAACACGTCGATTGCTACACAAACAACCAGACGCATGCTTAATACCTAGACATTTAAAGAGTTACGTGACTTGTCAAATATTAAACGGACTTACAAAAGTAATTTAAAAAGCAAAATAGAAAGCATTTCAAAATTATTCTGCTTGCAAACAGAAGCACATACAGGTAGTCTTTAAGTATTCGTCCTTCTCCCAAGTGCATTTTTTCACGCCAGCACCAAGTCACGCTAGCCAGTACCATAAATAAACACTAGACGTGTTTGAGTGACAAGTCTTATGACAGCCTTTTTCATGGTGATTCTAAACCATTGAGACATGACAAAGTTCTCCTGCAGAAAAACTGGTTTGATTGTTTTGCTTTCAGACCAGACTTAGTGAAGATCGGATCAAAGTACGTTTTCTTAAGAACTTTAATATTTTTCTAATTCAAAATGCGTTTTTGCTATCCTATTATTGTTTTTTCAGGGTAATTCATTCAATAAGTAAGAAAACAACTGCTTTTTTTCTTCTAATATTTCTGCAATAATTGTAATCCCGAAATTTTCTGCTAATTGTGCAGCAACAGAATATACTTTTTTATTTTTCTCGACGGGGAATATGCAATGATGACTCACTCTCGGTGGATCTCCTCTGGCGTGAGTCTGAGGTGGTGTCCCCCCTTTCCCACCACTGCACGAAGATGGAACACTCTGGGTAGGTCAGGCGACACACCTGCGCAATCAGACGCACACACTTACATAACAATTGTACTTGATTGATCCTAAAATCTATTCCATTGATTTCTTGATTGTATTTCTTAGGAAAAATGGCTATCATATGATAAAGTCGCTTTGGTTTTATTTGGTTGATGATTCTAATATTGTTCTGTGATATAAGCATGGGTAAGTGTTAGTTCGTTGAATTCCACCTCTGTGATCTCCTCTTCGAACTGTTCCCTCTGGCTGTTGAACAGGTTGAATCTGGTCTGCAAGGACACCACAGCCACGTGATCACTGGCATCATACACCCGGATGAACACACTGGCTGGGGGAAGACTCTCCAGGGGACCCGGAATGAGGCCGGCATCCCTCGCTGTCACTATCAGCTCCGTCCGCACGGGGGAGGAGGCGATGGACTGTCCCGGTCGCACGCGGATGTTGCCGGACACGGAATCCACCTCGTACCAGAAGTTGACGTTGCCGCCTGCAGGAAAATCTTCAGTTTTATATAATATTTTTCATTTCTTTCAACAATTGAAGCTTCTGTAATTCAATTCGGTCTTCAACATTGAAAATTTAAATTGTTATTTTTGCGGCAGAATTAAGCAAAGACTTGTGGCAGACCAAATTTGCTAATTTTTGTTTGGGACATATGATGGTCAAAATTAGAAAAGTGTAGTTAAACGTAGCTGCCGTTTGATCTCAACGATCGAACTTGAATTTGAAATTGAATTACTTTACCAGCTACATATACAACGCCAAAAGCAAAACAAGACTGCTCGTATCAGGGCGAAGCCCTGAATGTTCCGACTGCCTTTTAAGGTCTATGGAGCATTAATAACGTGAAAAATTTCAATGTAATAGAAAAAAAATTTTAAAAATTTTTTGAAAATTTTTTATTTTATGTAAAAACATCCTCCCACACGTCATATTAAGTACAAAGTGATAGACTTTGCGCCTATTAACAAATAACTTATGGCATAAAAGCATTCTTGATCCAATTTGGAACGATTTCTAAGACGGATTAAATCTCGTTACGCGTTAATAACATGACTGGAGGGAGATTCTAAAGAGCAGTACTGCTCATCGAGTAGGATATCCTGGAGTGTAAAGATAAGACAATAAACAAAATATTGTAAGGGCGGAAGTTAAAAAACAGTTTATAAAGATCCTGATTGTCTTTTAGGTAAATTTAAAAAACTGTTTACAGAATGACATTTCAGTTATATTAACAGGTATCAAGTTATTTTGTTTTAAATAGTTAAAAGCCTGCACAATTCTAACTGTAGGCGATCTCACGTTTAGCGGTAGCAGAAAATTTTGTCACTTTGATACGCTTTTCGCTTTACTCCTGGTACATGATGCTTTTTTTCGGAGTAAACCTGAGACAGAAAACCATTTATTTTATCCAATCGCAATTTGTCAAAGAAAAACATTAAAGTTGAGCTGAAAAACAATGACAAGAGAAAGAAAGAGAGAGAGAGAGAGAGAGAGAGAGAGAGAGAAAGAGAGAAAGAAAAAAAACAGTGATAGATAGAAACTGACAAACTGTTCAATTTGATAAACTCATTTGATGTGGTGTTTTATAAATTTGTAGATATTTGTTGTTGCTTGGGGGGATCGTAATCCATCGCTGCGAGATCTGAACTCCAATCAGATTTAAAAAATAGAAGTTCCACAAAAAAAAACACTCCAAAATTTCTATTGTGCTAGTACATATTGCTATGTATGAAGTCTGTGAAGTAACCTTAGCTTTGCTACATCGCTGATGTGTTATTCAGTACGCTTACCGTTAGGTTTTGGATCAGACTTAGGTAATGAGATACATGATTACTTATATTATGCGCTGCGTTATGTTTGCCGATATAATATAGTCTGAACTTTTGGTCATTGAAAAGTACGTGGAACATAAGATATATTTGTTCAGAGCAATACGGCTTAAGTGAAAAATGTCTAAGTCAGAGAGAATAGTGTTTTCAGGAAAAGAAGAAGACTTTTTGTATTTTGCAGAGCAATTTGAGGCTAGAATTTTTCATCTTAAATTAAATAAAGTTATCAATAGAGAAGTAGATGAGAAAGATTTTGCACCCAGTGTTAGGAATAATGCTACTATAGAACAGAGAGATGCATCTTTAAGAAAAGGGAGGGAAAGTTTAGGTGAAAAAGAATTGCATGTTTGGTATGAGTTGGTGCAATGTTTAGACAAAAAATCTGTTTTGTTTTTAAGACCTTATAAAGGCAAGGGAAGTAAGGCTTGGGAAATTTTGTGCAAAAGGTTCAAAAGTGCCGAGAGACCTAGTTTGCAGCAATTGATTTCAGATTTAACTTCGATAATAATGAAAGCTAATGAGAGTATAGTCGATTATATCACTAGAGCTGAAGAGTTGCAGTATAATTTAGATGAAGTAGACGAGGGTTTAGGTGAAAAGATGTTTGTGTCAATCATTCTTAAAGGCCTACCAAAAGAGTTCAATACGTTTTGTACCATGGTTAAGTTTAGCAAAGATGATAATAGTTTGAATGAAATTAAGAAAGATTTGTTAAACTTTGAAAGTGATCATAGAAATGAGAAGGAGGAGACTGAACATTCGTTTATTTCGAGAATAAAAACATGTTTTAGGTGCAATAAGACAGGACACATAGCAGCTCATTGTAGATCTAAGTTAGTGAATAAGGTTAACCAGTCATCTAGTGATAGACCTCCTGTGAAATGTTTCACGTGCTTAGAAATAGGACACATAGCTAAGGATTGTAAGAGGGATTTGAGAGAAAAAGCGTGAGAGAAGACCAGCTGTTAGCTGAAACTAATGAAACTCATTTTAGCTTTCACAACTCGGCTGAGAGAGTCGACAGTAACCTAGTTAAAGAGTCAGGCGCAACATGCAGTATGATAAAGGATAAGAATTTATTTGTTGAGCTTGACGAGAGTTTTAGCGAAACTGTTGAAAACGCTAACAAAACGGAGTCTAAGGTTTTAGGTAAAGGAAGAGTTGAATTTTTTGTGAAAGATTGTCAAGGAAATTCAAAAAAAAATTCAATGAGTGATTGTTTCTATGTACCAGAAAACTCAGAAAATTTAGTGTCAGTCTCAAAACTTACTAGAGGAGGAGCTAAAGTAGTTTTTGGAGAAAAGTCATGTATTGAGCAAGGAAATGGGACTGTTTATCCACTTAGTGAGCGAGGTAATCTTTTCATTTGGAAAATAATAGGATTTGGAAATCACAAAAAATTAAGTGTTGAAAAAATGCAAAACAATTCATCTGAGTTCAGAGTCAGTAAGACTTATTTTTGCAGAGAAACAGAAGAGAAGAATTTTAATGAGCAAAAGGAAAACTTGATAAAAGACGATGATATAAGGAAAGAAGTTGAGCTGAAAAATGAACCTAGAGCCCATCCAAAATCTAAAACGTCATTAAATGAACGAGGTAAGGAGGAGTCGAGAAACTTATGCGAGGTTGAGAAATTTCAGAGTATTGACATGAAGTTAGGTTCAAAGCTAAGGGAGCGTAAGAAGTTTGAAAGCAGAGCAGGCAAATTGATACGGATATTTGACATAGGACAAAAAAAAAGTAATATTGCTCTTAACAAACATCGTATGGGACATAGTAAAACTGAACCTCCAGACTAGTGTAGGCTATGATTTAGTACTTATTTTGAACGGAGGAGTGTTAAGTTTCGAAGAAATGACCTCTCACTTTATAGAGAAGTCATTTCCCACTTTTTGGTTCAAAATAAGAATATGATTGGATATCGCACGATGGCACGCGATATCGCGCGAAGTCATATCACGAGATCAGATCTCAACAGGCGGTTAACTTTCCATGTATATAGAAGTTGATTTACTACTCTTTTATCGCCCTCTAATTAAACTGTTGATTATACCTAGTTTTGCTGCCAACCTGTGAAAAAATCTATAATTCTAAACAATAAATCTGTCACAAGTTTCAATCTATAATCACCCATTTCAGTAACGTTTAATGTATGCCTGTCTGACAAAATCTTTAGAAATAATTTCTTTCGCCTTTTTCGTGATAAACTGACAGTGGCTAGCTTTTTCAGCCAGCTATTCTTTTTTTCATATGACTGCAAATGAGTAAAGAGTGTGTGTTGATTGTGAAGGGGGTTTGGTTTCAGCTGACCTGTGATGTGGTATGAGATCTGAGCGTTGATCCCGTCGTCAATGTCCACTGCAGTGACTGTGTCCAGAGTGCCGTCCGAGTTGGTCCAGAAGGAGGGCACGAAAGCATGGTACACATGCCCCCCTGTGTCTGGGGAAGTGAAGAAGGGACGGTGGTCGTTCCTGTCTATCACTGTGATGTTCACTGTCGCAGTGCCTGCAACAAACCAACAAATTGCAATCACTTCAACTCTTCAAAAGAACAAAGTCAAATCAATAGAACATAACAAACTGTCGATGTCCTCTCATATATTTGACTGCTTTTAACTGTTCCCATTTCAACAGCTAATTGGCCAACAAATTGCTTGATTAGACTGATAAAAAATTCTTTTTATTTGCTTAAAAATTTGATGTAACCTGAGTTGTTTAAACTTTCCAAAAAAATGGTTGTTGAATCAAGCAATATTATCCATTTTACTCGAAACTGATAGTTTTCAAAAGAAATAAGAATTTTTGCGTGTGGTTATAGTGTATGTGACCTGTGTTGGGTGGTGTCCCCCCGTCAGTGGCGATTATCTCGAAATAGAATTCAGGAGTGGCAGTCCAGTTGGGGGTCACCAGGGTGTTCAGAATCCCGTTGGAGGAATCCAGGGTGAAGTGAGCCACTGCTTTAGCCCCATCTGCATACGTGGTATTAATCGAATACGTCAAGGCAGAGTTCACTCCCTGGATAGCAAAGAAGTGAAAAAATAGGCATGATATCGAAATTAACCAACTATCGTTATTTCCAAAATCGATACCACGTTTAAGTATAGCTAGTTCTTAACATGAGCGGTTTAATCCTGAATCTTATGGGATAGGTGTGGTCAGTGGCGCATAATTTTTTTTTGGGGGGGGGGGCGTTTCGAAAAATTTTGAAACAAAAGTTTTGCGTTCGACTTTTTTTAGGTCGAACAATTTAATTATGCGAGCACTCCGGAAAAACTATACGGACCCTATTTTGTCAAAAAATTTCTGCGCCGTAGGCAAATTAAAAAAAAACTGGTTAAAAAAGGCGTTTTTAGGCAGTTTTCGGAAAGTTTTGTCCGAAAGGTTTTAGAAAAATTTTGAGGTTGGTTAGCAAAAAAATGGATGTCGTAAAGCTATGCTAAAGGGGGGACCTAACCTTGTCCGGGTCTGTGGCAAGTATGGCTGCGGGGGAGAGGGAGATGGTGACAGGCGGGTTCTCTCCCTCTATCGCACTGCCAGTGTACTGTTCGTGTTCGAACAGGGGGATGTTGTCGTTCAAGTCCAGCAGGGTGATGGTGGCCTGCCGGGTGGCTGTCAGAGACGGGTTACCCTGGTCAGATGCTCTGGAACGGAAACACAATTAAAGGCATCTCAGAGGTTTGCTATACTGACTACTTAACATATGGCCAAGGATATTCTAGAGTAATAAATTCAATTGTTTAGGGTTCTAACTGGGTGTAATCTAAGTTAGAACGGTATTTGGGGTCAAATTGGTGTTTAATTTGAGAGCTAATGCATGTGGCGTGTGTACCTGAAGGTGAGGTAGTATGTCTCCTGTGTCTCTCTGTCTATGGGGTATATGAGCAGAGTCACAATCCCACTGCCCCCGTCCACTGCCCAGATGGAAGTGTCGCCCGAGATGATGTCGTAAACTATCTCTACAGCACACCAAACAACACACACTTGCAATTGTCATAGTATCTAATTTAGTTCATGTTTCGATTCCAGTTCCATTTCTAGTTGTTGCTATTTTAATTCATCTATCTGTCTGGCGCTAACTAGATGTCGTAAACTATCTCTACAGCACAGCAAACAACACACACTTGCAGTATACACACATATACAAACCTAGTTTTTAATTATAGAACCACTTGTCAACCATTCGGTTAAGTTCACATGAAATTTTCAATCAGTCACTATTGTAAGTTCTCTTTTGCAGTTTTTGAGTTCTGCGAAATTTATAATAAGACTGATGACACTTTTTCTCAGGAAGTTAAGTTACTTTTTGACTAGTAACTTTAGTTTCAATTGTGTGTTTTTCTTCGCAAAATTTACTACGCAAATCTTAACATCTGTTTGCAATTTTTTCTGTTATTTTTCTGTGGTCAGATCATTATATGCTATTTGCACAGCAACCGCTGGTTCTTTTTGCCTTAAAAGCTGATTAAATAGACTTTTGTGAGTACCTGAGTTGGGGTTTCCTGTTTCGTCTGCGTCAGTGGCAGCAATTGTGCCCACGACAGTGTTCTGCAGGGAGTTCTCATCTACACTGAATGAGTAGGAGGTGGGGGAGAGTGGCTGGAAGATGGGGGTGTTGTCGTTACAATCCACAATTGTCACCACAACCTTAACAACAGAACAATTTGAAAAAAGTGCATAAAAACGATCAGTTTAAGCAAATTTGAACGAGTTAATGTTCTTGCTCAGTAGAGATAATTTAGAGATCAAATCGATATCATCGGCTTAGATACCATGTGAATAAGCACATAAGGTAAAGTGGTTATAACTCAGGTCAGGTCCATCAATCGCAGATCATTAGCACTGAATATTCTGATTCAACTTTAAAAACATATTGATGACGTGGTGGACTTGAGGGTGCTGCCCGAGTGAGAGCCCCAACAAGAATTAATCGAGCGATTTTTCAGCAAAATATGGGCAGTTTGAGCGGTTTTTGAACATAATCTCGACCCTCAAATATTTGTCATCCCAATTTTCCCCCAATTTTTACTCATTATCCTTCAATTACTATTGACTGACCAACTCAAAGACTGTGAATCGACGCAAACTTCTGCGTTTGCGTTATAAAATAGTAGAAAAGAGAGGGGTCAATTTGGTAGTGAAGATGTCCTCTTTTCCAGAGGGAGAGCAAAGCGGTGACCAACTAGTGAACTGTGTATTGTGTTGTATTGTGGCTTACCTGTGCCACAGCAGTGAGTGGGTTGAGGGCGGAGTCAGTGGCCTCAATGTCGAACTCTATCTCTAACAGGGGGCTCTCCCTGTCCACCTCCTGTCCAAAGTAGAACACCCAGCCCAAGTGGGGGTCCACTCGGAAGTAGGGCAACCCATTCGCACTGATCGTGAATGTCAGTCTACACACAGTCACACAGTCACATAAACAGCTAGCACTAAAACTCTTAATCTCGGAGCTCTTACTTTTAATTGAGTACTTATTTATATTTTTGATACATATTTTCTGTTTAGTCTCTATTGCTCTACATCAAGCCCACGATTTCCCAGTATACATTCCTTTATCAATTACATACGATATCCGAGTCAAAACTTCGATTGGTTATTTTACACGGTATGGGATGAATGAGGCCAATTTCCGAAGGCGATAAACACGAATGAAACATTGCATGTTTGAACTTTACACTGAGCGGAGTTTGCAACTGTTCTGTTACCTCTGGTTAGCTGCCCTGTCTGGGTCGGAGAAGTTTGGCTTGAGGATGTAAGTCTGGTTGGCCACACACTCTGTCATGTTGACTGTGTAAGAGGCCTTCTCGAACACTGGGTCCTCATTGGCGTCATTCACGCATACTGAGAGGGACACTGTGCCTGTCTTGGGTCCATGCAGACTCCCTCTGTCTGCTATCTCCACCACCAACTCATACCCATTCACTCCTGTTCAAGGGAAACAAACCCACATATCAACCAATCTAGACTTTCCTTACAACTAATTCTCATTCGTGACTCGTGTTTCGGGAGAAAATATTAGTATGACCAATTCGAGTGAGATAGATACGCCCTCCGGTTTTTTTATTTGCCTTCTGAATTGAATGTTGGCTGAAATAAGTTTACAGATATTTGATGTTGTTTAATTGCTTCGAGATTTCATGTGTGTGATTTTAGACTAGGGGTTACGCACTCTGTACTTTTTATAGTTTTCCATGCGTCGTCAGAAACTGACGAAAGTTTGCCTTTGTTCAATAGAAGCAGGCAATAAAAAGCGTTTTCCTAACTACTATTGTTCTCGAACAACAAAAAATTGAAAAAAATTTGTTTTTGCTCCGATCATTTGAAAGTTGGGAGGAATTTTGTGTTCGGGTGTGTTTTAGTTTTATTTTTGTTTTTTAACGCAAAATCAGGTACCAGCACAAATAATCATTGTAAAGCAATGATATCTCATATTGAAGCCCTTTCAATCTTGATTGGAACGACATTGAAAACTTTCAAAAATTTGTCTGTGTCGAAAACCGGTTTGAAAGTTTTGAGTTTTACTCTAATTGCGAGCGGGCTTTTTTTGAAGGATCAGCCATAAAACGGTAGTCAAATTGCTTTTTTTTTGAACTTTTTTAGCGCATTTTTTGGAAAAAAAAACTTCAAAACTTCAAAAAATATTTCTGTAAAAATAGCAAAAAAATGTTATTTGATTGCATTCAAATCACACGACAATTAATTAATTTGTTTTCAACGAGGATTTAAAATAATTATTCCGGCGACTTGAAAAGTGGGGAAGAATTTCGTATTTGGGTGTGTTTCTGTTTCTTTTTCACGTAAAGTCAGGTATCACAAATGATCATTGGAAAGAGTTGAGCGATATATCATTTTGAAGCCCTTACAGTCATGATTCAAACGACTTTAAAACTTCCTCAAAACTTCCCAGTATCGAGAAAAACAAATTCAAAAAAGTTTGATTTTTTCTATGTTAATTCGAGAGAGCAAGCGAGGAGGCTTACTACAGCTTATTTTAATTTTAAAAAAGCCTACAATAGCCTAATTGAAGCCGAACATACCTTGATAAGTTAATTTTTGAGATTTTTAGCCGTTTTTCGGAATCAAAAACTTCAAAGTTTCAAAGACTGCAAAAAAAACTTTTGAATGTTTTTTGTTTGCTGTTTTTTTTTCCTTTTTTTCAAGTCATTTTTCTATTAAAAAAAACTGTGTTGTCCAATGTGCTTATTTTACGATGACTGTCGAATATACATATGCTCAATTTTTGTGTTTCGATCCCATCTCGCAGAAAGCAGACACTAATTTGGAAAAAAAACTGTTTTGGTTTTTCCAAGACTATGGTCAGAACATTCTGTGCTACTTGTGCAGTAACTGGCTATCCTTGTTTATTTTATGGTCAAGTGATCTGTGTGTGTGTGTGTGTGTGTGCGTGTGTGTGTATGTGGCCGGTACCTGTGGCGTCTCTATCCAGCACCTGTGCCATAGTGATCACGCCAGTGCTGCTGTCTATGTTGAAAATGTCCCCATAGTCTGAGAGTTGGGTGAAAGTGAATCCTCCCCCATTTGTGTTCAGGGAGTCCCCATCCTCCACTGCCACCACGCCCACCTTAGTGCCCACTGGCACCTTCTCCAGTACTAAAACAGACACAGACACATCACGTTTGAACAAGCTGCTGCACATATAAACAAACACGAGAACAACAAGAATCTCAGGATACAAAAAAGTTCAAGAATACGACGTTTTTAAGGGGACCTTACTTCTAAACGAGTTGCGATGTTTGAATAAGCAAAAAACAATCCCAACTGAAAGTGAAAGAGATTCACCTATTTGTGCCGGCAACCAAATCAACCAAAAAGAGGACTGCTAGATGGGCTGTTCTGCCCATACAGAAACCCTGATGACTTTTGTTAGTTCGCGTGTGTTCTTTTTGAGCTGCATGTAAATTCAAGTTCAAAATGAGTGCATATACACAACAGGGGAAGATCTAGTAGTCGCAACCGTGAAAAAGTGGACATCATTTGGAAAATTTCACGAAATTTCCCAATTCGACGAAAACGAAACTCCATCTCTGAGCTTGTCGCGAAAATACTTTAAGCTTGTCTCGAAAAAGCTTGTCTGAGCTTGTCTCGAAAAAGAATTAAGACCTTCTTTTCCTAGGATTTGTTCCTAGAAACTTTGAAAAAAAGCCGAAAAAGCGACCTTTTGTTACTTAACCCGTATATGGCTACTTTTAAGTTATAAAGCTTAAAGCTTTGCGTTCAGAATGTCAAGTATTTGTTTTAAAATTTGGCCAATTACCCCATTCGAATCATGTTTTGTCTTCATGTCTACAGCCTCGTACTTTCTTTGAACCCGGCTCGAGATCCCGCTTAAAAAACGCTTAAGATTGAAACGATTTGAGCAATTTTCTAGCTATATTTGAACAGTTTTATTGTTTTTTTTTTGTAAATAAAGCGTTCAAAAACACTCATTTTGAGCGCAATCGTCTAAAAAACCGCTCAAATGCTCAAATTCTGCTCCAAATTAGGTGAAAAAATGTCGACTGGGGAAATGATGGGCTGGAAGGAATATGATGGTGAAAGAGATGGTGTTGTGTGTAGTGCACCTGTGAAAGTGAGGGGAGCACTCTTGAGTGCAGGAGTGTTGTCATTCACATCCACCAGCAGTACATGCAACACAGCAGTGGAAGTGTGTTGGGGCTGCATGTTCAAGTCATGGTCCAGTGCCTCTATCACACAGGAGAACGCCTCCGTCTCCTCATAGTCCAGACCACTCTTCACCCTCACCTCCCCATTCCTCTCCCCCACTCTCACTTTGGAGTGGCAGAAGGGGGAGTTGGCAGAGCGCAGTTGGTAGTAGACAAGACCAAAGTAGCCAGAGTCTGCAACACATTCCATATATGTTAGCTGTGACTTAGGTGAATGTAAAAGTATTATGGTTTGTTTATTTAACCTCTGATCTTAACTTAGATAGAATCCCCGTCTTTTATTTAGTCTTAAATAAAAGCCTACAATTTTAGTAGGAATCTTAATCATCCACAGTCTTAATCTATTCTTAGTTTAAGTCACTCTTTTACAACACGAGTGGTATCCTAATTTTTTAACATGGCGCAGTCGAATGAATCAAACCTACGCGGACTAGAGTTTTTTTGGAACAACTCATCATACGAAAATCAACATGACTGGGAAAGGTGGGCGGAAAAATTCCAACTGACAATTATTGCGAAAGACTCCGTAGACATCGAAGATGTAATTAACCCACCGATAAGAGATGAACTAATCTACCCTATGGCAGAACCACTGGACCCATCCGAGGATCAGACCCGTCGGGCCGAAAAAGAGGAACGTCATAGAGTAGCAGTACAAAATTACAACGAAGAATTAAAAAGGAGAAGGGCGGAAGATAACGCAAAATTCAACGGACTTCAAATAGGAGATATTGACAAGAAGCTAAAATCACAGCTATACCTAGCACTCGGGAAAGAAGGACAGAAATGCTTTTCTCATAAAAATCCTGGAAAAAAAATTCTGGATATTAATTTCGCAGAATTTTGGGAACTATTAAAAACGACTTTCACGATCACTACAAACCTAACATACGAAAGATTTAAATTTTTTGGCCGAAGACAGAAAGAACATGAGTCCTTAGAAAAATTCCATGAAATTCTTTCAGAACTAGCAAAAAATTGTAAACTGGGGGAACTCGAGTCAGAACTAGTAAGAGACATTTTCATAACCAACATGAGAAATGTCGAGATCCAAAAGAAACTATGCATTGAATACTTGACCCCAGAAAACGTACTATCTTACGTATTAGTTCACGAAAAAGGTACTAAAATTCATCAACAGTATCTAAAATTCCCAACTTACAACCCAGGACCAAGATCACAATACGTGAAGAACGAACCAACATTAAACATAGTCGAAAATAACAAGTGCCGTAATTGCGGTCAGCAATTCAAAAAAGGACACCTATCCACATGCCCGGCTAGAGATAGAAACTGCAATACGTGCGGACGGAAAGGACATTTTGCTAAACACTGTAGGAGTTCAGCAAAAACTCAAACTAACATCGTCGATCAGAATCGGGTACCCCAAGAAAACGAAAATATCCGGGCCAACCCGCAGGAAAATCCCGAATTTGAGGTTAACCTAGACGACTTCTTAGTTCTATCCATCGACACAGATAACCAAATAAATGCCGTAGAAGACAAAATAGAGCGCGGAGTGAGAACAGTATTCAATCACGAAGGATTAGAATTGAAAAAGACACTAAAAGTAGCTCTGGGAAAATTCAACCCCTACTATACCGAGATTCAAATTGACTCTGCAAGTCCAGTTTCCTTCATGAAAAAAGACCTACTACACGAACTGAAGATACGAGACAGATTTGTAAAGCTAGAACCTGTGGACGAGATAACAAAGAAAGCATACCAGGGTTTCGGGAGTACGATCAATATTATTGGAAAAGTTCGAGTGAAAATCCAATCGAAAGGATGGGAGGCTAATGATCAAAAACTTTTTATCACAGAAGGGGCTGAAAGAAATCTACTAGGAAATGACATCCTACCAAATTTGGGTATTGTAGTATTTCAAAAACAACCTCCACCCAACGGGTCAAATTCACGGGAAAACCAGAAAGTACCACCCATCGGGACAAATGTCAATCAAGTTAAATTCGCATCCGACATCCAACAGGATCAAAACCAAGAGACATCATCCCAACGTGAGTTTAAATTATACATATCAAAGCACTTTCCAGACCTTATAAAAAGAACTGGTAGATCAAAAAACTACGTAGTTAATACTTATTTTAACGAGCCGATAAAACCGATACAGGTGAAAGGGAAACGTATCCCAATCCATCTTCTCCCCAAAGTCAAACTATGCATCGACCAATTATTCAGTGACGGACACATTGAAAAACTATCTAGATGCTCTGAAGATTGTTTTATTTCCCCTATCGTGATTACAGCAAAAAGGGATGGATCAATAAAACTAGCGTTGAACTCAAAACTACTAAACAAACAAATATTTCGCAATAGATATCAAATGCCGAATCTATTCGAACTAATTGACAACGTTGCAGTCACTATTAGCGGTCACGATCAAAGAAACATCTGGTTTTCGTCGATAGACCTAAAATACGCCTACAGCCAAATTCCACTTTCGAAAAAGGCAAGTAATCAGTGTAATTTTAACATTGTGGGGGGAGAAGTAACGGGTTCATACTGTTTTAAAACCGGATTCTATGGACTAGGCGATATGCCAAATGAATTTCAACGTATAATGGACCGTTTGACGGAAAAACTACCAAATACTCATTGTTATCTTGACGACATCCTAATCGCCACCGTAGGTAGCGAGGAAGAACATAAAAAGCTAGTCATTAATGTGTTAAAAACGCTAGATGACGAGGGACTAGCCATAAAATGGGAAAAATGCACGTTTTTAACTCATAACATAGAATGGTTGGGATTTAGAATCGACGCAAAAGGGACGACACCATTAATACATAAATCTGACGCAATCAGAAACCTAAAAGAACCAAACTGTATTAAAGACATCAGATCCTTAATGGGATCGATTAACCAATTTAATAAGTTCATACCAAACCTAGCGTCCCTATCAACACCCTTCAGAGAACTTATGCAAAAGAATAAACCATTTAAGTGGTCCACAGTACATACGGAAGCGTTTGAAAAAATCAAGAACGAAATTTGTAATACGGTGACGAACCACCATTTCGATGTAAAACTGAACACTCGGGTGAAATGCGACGCCTCACATTTAGGATTGGGCGCGTCAATCGAACAAGACCATTGGGGAAATTGGAAGACCGTAGCGTTCGCTAGCAGATTTTTGAATATCGCTGAATTAAAATACAGCACTAACGAACTCGAATTACTGGGATTAGTCTGGGCACTAGATCATTTCAAAAATTATCTACTGGGTAAACAATTCTCAATTTTAACAGATCACAAAGCCTTAATAGGAGCACTGAAAGACGATAAATACACTAAAACGGCCCAATCACGCCTCACCCGTTGGGCGGATAAACTATTACCGTTCGACTTTACCGTAGAACATTTACCCGGTAAAGATATGGGATTTGTCGATTATATATCCCGACACCCATCGGGTGAACCCGTACCAGTTTCTCTGGATGACGAGAACTTTGTTATCGCTTCAGTAAACCAGATTAGTACACTCCTAGGCTTTGATCACCTTATGCCAAAAAATTCGTGGGCGCAAATAAGAAATAAATTTTCTCAACATTTCTTAGCACATGACGTCACTTCTTGCAATGCGATTAGCCAGTCAACAGATCATATGACCAGTCAAGAAATAGAACGTGAGAAACGAATTGCTAATGCCGCTGAAACTTTCCAAGCGATATCTAACCATTCCAACATTTCAGTGTGTCAAAATTCTCACTCGCGTACAGAACTGTGTGACTCATCTTGCAAAACTAACGACTTTTTTACGAATTTTAAAATCCTGAAAGAAATGGCAGAACAAATTGAATTTAACCAACAAAAAGAACTTACTACTAAAGAAAACACGGACGTTTTAACACCAAATACTAGTAACCCGTCGGACAAACCCGAGAATAGATCACCTAGCAAAAAGAAAACAGTTAACTTATTCCCTTTCTCTTGGCCGGAAATATTTGACTCTAAATTTATGTCCCTCTTATCGAAACAAGATCTAATTCTGAAAAAGATAATCAAGGCAATCGAGGAAGACCGAAAACAGGATATCCTACAACTGGGAAACTATTATAAGTCATATTTGAATAACTTACATGTCAGTGGAGGATGCCTCTATTTGGACAACCGTTTAGTAATCCCAGCATGCCTAAGATCGACTATGCTGAACAGACTACACGAAGCCCACCCCGGCCAGTTCGCAATGAAAAGCCTGGCAACGCAATACATCTGGTGGCCGAAAATTTACCGTGAAATCCAAGTCCACGGCGAAAATTGTATAGAGTGCGTGAAAGCAGGTAAAAATTTGAAACCTCTTATAAAACACAATACCCTAGGGGAACTCCCAATGGTCGAAGAACCAAACCAAGAAATGGAATTAGATTTCGCTGGTCCGTAACCTTTAGTATGGGGAACAAAAAAATACATATTGGTGTGTGTAGACAGATTTTCAAAATTCCCATCAGCTCAAATAACATCCAGTACATCGGCAAAATCTATTATAAACTTCCTTAGTAAATACATTGCTTTACACGGGATACCTAGAACAATTAGAACAGATCAAGGATCTGGTTTCATCTCCAAGGAAGTTAGAGAATTCTGCCACGATCACAACATAAAGGTGATATTTAGCCCAGTGGGTGATCATAGAGCTACGGGATTAGTGGAACGCCTAATCAGGACCATTAAGGAACGACTCCTGGTTATGGCACAAGAACGTCCAAAACCTTCACTAGAATCTGCACTCCTGAAAATAATAAAATGCTTAAGAACAGTAACTCAACAGTCGCTTAACTGCTCTCCTTTCGAAGCACATTTCGGTAGATCCCCAAACACTATCTGGCATAATTTGGTCAAATCACCCTCTTCGAATAACCTTGATTGGAACAAAACTTTGTTATGTATAGATAAAGGCAAAAAACTAATGAGCCGAGAGCGAAGACATGACTGGGATGCCCCTGACGACATAGAAGATGGAGATGTCGATGAAAATTCATCATCCTCGGAGGATATCTCAAATGCCGTGAGATATGTACCAACAAGTGCTGGATCACCAGTAAAAGTCCTCTCCCGGTCAGAAAAAAGAGATGCCTTGGGCATAAAGGACTCAATTCTGAACAACCCGTCGGGTAAGACCATTGTTTATCGAAAAATCCAAGATAGAATGAAAAATGAACCATACTATAGAGTACTTAAGGACGAAATCGTAAGGGAATCAGATCACACTGTGACTCTAAAAAATGGTAAAATAATACGTAAATCTGATTTAGCCATTAAAAGACAGTGCACCCAGAAGAAACCAAGTCCGAGAAAACGAGACCAATTAGTTAGATTTTATGCGACTAAAGGATTGAGGAAAACTGCAAAACCTCCAAGAAATATCGGATTTAAAAGCTCAAAAACTACCCAAAAGAAACGAAATCTTCAGTGGAAATTTGAAGAGCTTGACATTGCGAGGCGAAACGCGGCCATGAACAGTTCTAGGGAAACTCTTCTTAGAGAAGAAGAAGAACAGAGAAAGAGACTGAGAACACCGATTGGCCTCGAGAGCGACCAAGAACCAAGCCCGTCGGGCAAACCCGAACTTCTTAAAAGTTACCTAAATGAACCCGGAGTGACGATCGAACCACATGATGAGATGTCAGACGATAATGCTAGTGACTTAATGACACTAAGAGACCTCAAGGAGAAAACACTACTCGAAACTACGAAACGAGACGAACACCTAATGTCCGACCGAACAGATCCTAAGCTAGAATCATCAGACCACGCCGACCAGAAGGTCGAGTTAGATGAGATTCCTTTGATCGACTTGGATTCCGGTGACAACGAAAGAGATTTTCAAGCGACCCCACAGTTGATTCTCTTGGACACTAGGGAGGAGGGCGATGAAGCGATCCAAGAAATGCCGGTACTTCCAGAGAATCCCGGAGGAGAGTTCCCTAAACCTACTGGAGAACAAACCACCATGGCGGAGACGGGACCCAAACAAACACTTTCTGACCGTTCTACGAAGACACAGAAATTGTCCGGTACTGCTAAAAGGAAAGCGTCATCTCCAATGAAATCACCACCCTCGAAAAAACTGTCAGAAATTTTTACACGTCAGAACACCAGACCTATGCGAACTAGGCAGCCTCCCAAGATGCTAGGCGAGAGAGTATTTACCAGTATAGTCGATCTAACTGAGGAAGATCGTGATGCCCTAGAATTCGGTTCACCTAGTTTAGTCTCAGTATGTTCAACGTTGGAAGCAACTACGGTAGAAATGGAAAGCCACCATGTCGACCTAGTAGACCTGACAACATTAACACCACCTTCATCTTCACGGCCTACTATAGTTCACTTGCGAGAAGAAAACGATGCGTACCCAAGTGACCCAAAGCCCTTAAAAACAGACGATCAAAAGAGTCCTGACAAGAAGGTCAAATTTAGCCCTGATGTCTGCTCCACGCGATTTAACCCATCGGGCCTATCTTACGAAATTTCAACTTCCACATTTGTCCCCATCGTACCTGACCCAGACTGGCTGAACACCTCTTCTATCATTTCGGCGATAGAACTCCTTGGACGGCCAATGACACTGGAGGAGTTAAGGAGATGGACAATAAATAAAGCAGCAAATCGGGAATCTAATTAGATGTAGAAACTCAAAACAGATGTTATCAAAAACATTCTTGATCTACCAAAACTCCATTGTAAAACTTTTAGTACCTTTACGTCCTGTTTATTGTTGAATGCTACTAACATTCCATGACCCTAGAGTCATACAAACCTCTAGTGCTGTTATTTTAAGCCATAGTTATGATTGGTAACACTTATACCCTTGCTTTTGCCATAGAATTCAGCCCGAATCTCGTTATAGTTCTGTTAACCCATGGGGCGCTACCACCGGATAACCATTAGATTTATCCATTTTTGGTTCTACCCAGTTATTTCGCTTATTCTAAGGATAACTCCCTGCATACATTATGACTCTATTCACCCTGGTGCTATTTCAGTTTCTTGCTTGCCTATAGTCACCAGTCTACAGTTATTTCTTCCGACGAATACATATTATTCGATCTAATGTGCTTTGTTTTGGAATTTTGTTTTTGTTTGTTGAACTTGCCGTCCGGCCCGTCGGGTCCGATCACCGGCCTTCCCCGTACTGTACACCCACCCTTTCGACCTGATAACCGTGTAATTGTACTTAGTTTATGATACGCCTCTTGGGCCCTTTATCAAATCTGTGTTCTTACGAATCTAGATCCACTCTCGGGGGTCCTAGACAATGCGCCTACTGATTCATTCATCTTAGTGCTTAATCATTTTTGTTTTGTTCCCTTCTGGTGAGGCGAAAGGGATAAATTATAGATAAAATTTCGCGGGGAATGTAAAAGTATTATGGTTTGTTTATTTAACCTCTGATCTTAACTTACCATCGACCTTTAAGTTGTTAATTTATATACCTGCCAAAAGCGCAACGGCTTTTGGTAGACTCTGAATTGGACACTATCTTTTATGATACGTAACCAATCAATCGCAACCAATTCAATCTTTTAAACCTCTCTTAACTTAGATAGAATCCCCGTCTTTTATTTAGTCTTAAATAAAAGCCTACAATTTTAGTAGGAATCTTAATCATCCACAGTCTTAATCTATTCTTAGTTTAAGTCACTCTTTTACAACACGAGTGGTATCCTAATTTTTTAACAGTGAAGACCAAAACATTAAAATTTAAAAAAAATTCAAAAGCCAATGAGAGTAAGAAGAGTTCCGATTTGGTACAAGATTTTATATTTTTAGCTATCCTATTTAGGCAGAAGGTTTCGATTTGTGTACATACAACAAAACTGAATCTATTTTCATGCGGCGTAGTATGGGCCATTTTTAGTTTTTCGTGAATTTCAGGAATTTAGCCCGAGTATCTAACAAAATTAATTAGAACTTGGTTTTTGTTTATAATATTCTTATTTTCTCCTTACCCAGATCTGTGGCAGAAACAGAAGTGATGAGAGAGCCCACTGGCTCGTCCTCCTCCACCGGCACACTGTACACTCTGCTGGGGGTGAACTGGGGTCGGTTGTCGTTGCTGTCCAGCACATTGATCGTCACTGTGGCCGAGGAAGAGAGGGAGTCGGGCGACGAGGAGTTGTCGTCGTCATGTACCTCGGCTGGAGGAGAAGCAACAGATCCATTTTTTATGACAAGCACCATTTTTTAAAAACATTTTTTATGACAAGCAGACGTTAGGCAATATTTAAAGCTCGACAGTAAGAATACGATATCGGGATACAAGTTTTCGTTATCTTTGGATTTTTTTTTTGGTTTTTTCTTTTTTGATCTTCTCTTTTGGAATTGGCTCTGCTTAATTGACTACAGTTCTAACTGGTAGATTTTCTTAGTACTTAGTTCTGAAATGCAAGCAATTTTTCTCCTAATATACAAAGTAGTTTTTTTATTTAATATAAACATAAACATACGATTGAACAAAAAAGAATTCATTCTTGAAGGAGGAAGAGCTGGAAAAAAACCCACAGAAGCGTGACTTTCATTACTCCTATGAGACTGACCGATTAGTATGAACTGGGTGTGTGTCTCGTAGTCTAGAGGGTATCTCAGTTTGATCACGCCAGAGTGAGTGTCTATGGCGAAGTGCTTCTCGGCCGCTGTGGGGTCCGAGTCCAGCGAGTAGTTCAGACTGAACTGGCCCACTCCGAAGGGAGTGCGGGAGGAATCTGCATCCGAGACGAACCTGCAACAACGAGGAAAACATCACTTGCTGTTTAAACAAAAACATCACTTGCTGTTTAAACTGTCTTATTAATTGAAATTTCAGCATTAGAAACATAATGCCATATAATAAGAAATGGTCAAATTGCAGTCTTCAGTTTCTTTGTTCTCGTACAAACTGTTCGCTAGTTAAAACCAAATCATCTTCAAGTAACTTCTGATAGGCGATGTTTTGGAAGGTAAGTACATGATTTGCACTTGATGAGTACATACATCTGGCCGACAGCTGATCCGACTGGACTCCTCTCGTTGACGGAGAATGTCTTGGGTTTGTCCGGGGAGAAGGTGGGCGTGTACTGGTTCTCGGCCAGGATGTTCACAGTCAGAGTGCCGTAAGCCGTCAGTCTGAATGAAAGAAAAAGATAGCCGACTTGAAAGGACAAACATAGCGTGGTCTACTTTTCGATTTTTTTCCATGTTAAGAAACGTATCAGATCCAAAACGTCAATCAAAAACGTACGCGATCAAAATTAGTGTCTTGATTTTCATAGTTAACAGCGATTGTTTTTCAGCAAATTTGAATTTAAAAATAAGTTTATGTACAGTACTGAATTAAATTATCCGAACGCGATTTTTCCAACTCGTTTTTCTTAGAGTGGGTTAACTTTACAACAAAAGTTGCGGAGACAAAAGTTCACCAGATGTTCTATCTGATGCAATTTTCGCAAAGTTTGACCCAAATTTTTACTCTTAAAAGCTTGATCAAAAATATATGAAAAAATGCTTGAGATACGTTCATCAACCGAGAAAATACATCGCTTGATTTAATTACAGCAAAAATGCAAGCTATTTATGAGATTTGGTAGTCAAAATTGATTTTTTCGCTCCGACTATTCAGAGGGTACCAGAGTTGCATTCGGGTGTGCTTGAGTTTTTTCTTCATTTGCTTTGTTTTCCACGCAAAATCAGGTGCCTTAAACAATCAGCGGAGTGATACGAGTGATATATCATATAAAAACCCTTCAATCGTTTCCGAACATCATAAGAAGAAAACAAAACAATACTGCTCGTACCAGGGCGAAGCCCTAAATGTTCCGACCGCCTTTTAATGTTTATGGAGCAGCAAAAACATTTAAGAAAATAAATGAAACGAAACAAAATGAAAATTTTTTTTCTAAAAATTGAATTTTTTTAAATGAAATCATCCCCCCACACGCCATATTACGTACAAAAAGATAGATTTCGCTCCTTGTAACAAATCAATTATGGCAAATACGTTTCTTTCAACCAATTTGGAACGATTTTTAAGACAGATTAACTCTCCGCTTACGCGTTAAAAGCGCGAAATATATCGCGCGTTAATTGTCCCAAATTGGCCAAAATGGCAATCTTTAAACCCCAGTAACTTTGGGAAAAATAATCACAAGTGAAATATCTTTTCAAATTTAAGCTCAAGACAACATTACCTTTCGAATGATATAAAAAATTCCGTCAAAAAAGGCTAGTTAAAAAGTCGAAGTTTGTCTGAAGAAAAAAAAACCCACTCCGAGCACAAATATTCCGTTATTTTCGTACGAAAGTCAGAACAAAAACTGTCCCAGTGTCGAGAAAAACCGGTTTGTTTTTTTAAAAGTTTCAATCTAACGTCGAGCATATAGAGAGATCGAGTAACGACTATTATATGAAAATAAGGCTAAGCAAACCTGATATTACTATAAAGGAAAACTGGTTTTAGGAGCTTCATTTAGCGCTTGCCCGGCAATAAAAATTTCCCAAAAGGTTTTGAAAAATATTGTGAAAAAAATTTTCGAAAAAGTTTTAGAAAATACTTTTTTTATCATTGATCTTTTGTCATTTTTTATTAAAAATAATTGCTGTCAATTTTGGCCGATTCACTAACTTTGGCACACGTTCGCATAATTCTTTTGTCAGATTGCGCATTGAAAACAACACTAATTTGAAGAAACAAAGAAAAGCTTTTCATAATTTTTTATGCATGTGGTCGGAACATTCGGTGCAACTCTCTCTCTCTCTCTCTTCTCTCTCTCTCTCTCTCTCTCTCTCTCTCTCTCTCTCTCTCTCTCTCTCTCTCTCTCTCTCTCTTTCTCGCTCTCTCTCTCTCTCTCTCTCTCTCTCTCTCTCTCTCTTCACCGCGTAAAGACAGTCGTTGAGCTATGTTTGTTTTCGGGACTGACATTGCTCTCAAACTTAGAAGTTCAAGAAGTGAATAGAACTTTAAAGAACACCTCAGCCGGGCATGCGTTTCTCACCTGCTGTCTCCATTGGCGTTGTCAGTGGCAGCCAGAATGTACTTGTAGATGTCTCTGGAGTGGTAGTCGAACAGCTGGTTGCTACTCACACAGAATGCATTCACCACACTGGCCACTGTCACCCCACAGCAGGAGAGAGCAGCACAGGGGGTCACTTGGAACGCATCCACGCTGCCTGCAACACAACCCAAACCCTCTTTGCTACTACTTTAACATATCTCTTTTTGGCTGACCGGTATTGAACTAATTTGGACATGTTTATCCTAGATCCGCGGTTATAGCTCCATACTGCGGTTATAACTGCCAGTGATTTTTTTAAACCTAGACAATTCGTTTAAGTGGCGACTTTTAAAGAAGTCAAGGCACCGCTGAAATGTGTATAACTGTACTATTATTGGTTGCTTCTGCCCACCTGTGATGGTCTGCAGCACTAGTTGTCCGTCTGCCACTTGACTGTTGCCCATAGCGGGGTCGTCCTTGTCGTCTATCTGCAGTAGTGCCACTGCACTCCCTCTGGCCACACTCTCCACCACACTGGCCACGTAGTTCACCACTGGCGAGAACAGCGGCAGGTTGTCGTTCTCATCTGTCACTGTGTAGGTGGTTGTGCACGTCACTGCACTGCTCCCGTCGTCCGCTATGATGTTGATGGCCACTGGGGAAGTCAGTGTCTCCCGGTCCACCTGCAGTGCAGAAAAGTAATGCAATTTAACAGTATTACCTTCTTCGTAACAATCAGTTTTACCATCCGAGTTATTTGAAAGCATATGACAAAAATAACGTGGCAATTGATTTGAACGCTGCAAAACAACACATGCTGAGAAAATATTACCGCTCAGACTCGCCATTTAGTTTTTTTAAGTTTAATTAAATCGCAATTTTATTAGACGGTATTTATCAAGTTTGAAGTCTTGAACGGTTAGACTACCTTTTTGGCCAGTTTGATGATTCCGGTGGTAGGCTCGATGTTCAGGAAACCCCCTGCGTTGCCGGTGAGTGTCCAGGTGATTGGGGAGTAGGGATTGTCTGGATCTGAGGTGGACAAGGAGTTGTCTGTCGTCTCAAACCAGCCATTTCCAGGCACGTTGAATACAGTGGATCCCACAGACATTGCCTCACTAAAACAAAATCAGAAATACAAACCAACTAAATCTTCTTCGAATTGATGTTTTTTTTCAACGCACGCTGATTTCACACGTACTGATTTCAATAAGGAATTGCGAAGTTCTCATGCATAATTCTGCAGATTCTTGCGCTAAATTGATTTAAAGTTGTTATCAGATCTCAAAATCTATCACAATGAAATTTCTGATTTTCCATGCAGTTTTCTGTCGAGGATGAACGTGTGCTCATTGGTGTCTTTTTTCTCTCTAATTAAACATCAAACTTTCAACTCTATGTTTGTTCTAAATTCTAAGTTGGCGACCAATACTTCAAACCAGTAATTGACCTGATGTCGATGTTTTTGCATGTGAGGAAGGAGCCCTGTCCCTCGTCCACATTCACAATGTTCACTGTGAGAGACACTGTCTGCACGTGACTGTCCCGCCCGTCTGTGACTTCCACAAGGAGACTGTAGTGGTGGGAGGAGTATCTCTCGTAGTCCAGGGGGGAGTCCACTCTCAGCTGCAGCGAGTAGGGGGGAAGACCAGACAGCGAGGGACCTGCAACAACGTACAACAGAAACAATTCATGTCAGAAACACAACAGAAACACAACAACTGAAACAATTGCAGAAGCAGTTCAAATTTACTACGGCATCCGAAAATCTGATGCAAAACTTGCAAGGGAAATGTTAGAACCCCAGTTCAAACGAAAAAAAAATATATATATTATATCATAACTTTTACACTGTATTTGCAAGATAAAGAATTGTTTTGCCTAATAATAGTATGAAAAGCTTTGCATCTCAAACTTTAAACGGGCGATTTTTTGTCATTTACTTTGAAAGAGACCCCTCCCGAATTTATTTTAAAAAATGAAGCTGAGATGAGAGGTTATTGTGCTTACCTGTTGTGAATGAGAACATAGTGAGTGCTTCATTCTCATTGGCCGACAGAATAGAAGCAGTCAGGGTATCCCCCTCATCTTTATCCCCACAGGGTAGCATGAAGCCAGTCACCCCTGTAGCTCCCTCTGCCCAGTCGACCGACAGCTCACTGGGCCGACAGATGGGTTTGTTGTCGTTGATGTCCGAGATGGAGACTGTGAGAGTCTGTGTGGCTGTGTAGGTGGTGGCAGAGGCGTCTGTCTCGTCTGACACTTCTATTTCCAGTTCGAACTCTCCCCCAGTGCAGAGGAAGTTGCCACACAGTTCTTCCCTGTCGATGTCATTCACCTGAAATTGACAAAAACAGTGAGTTGGATAAAAAAAGACTTGAAGCAAAGTGATAAAATCACAATGACTAAAATAGCAAGTTCCTCTGAGCAGGTCACACCAATTGGTTCGGTATGTTGGATTTGGGCTATACCAATAGAATTTTCACTTTTTAAGCAAAAGAAAATTTTTGATAGTTATCACAGCTCAAGTGTCAAACCTTTTTATTTGGCACTGATTTTGCATGGAAAACTTAAATTCATCGTTCTTCGCCACATTCCGTGGTGAATACTGGAACCTGATCTAAACTACATTTTATGATTGGATAAATTAGATATTTTACCAATGTAAAGTATTTAATATTAACCAATCATGATCCATCTAACTAACAACCCACTTATTTGTAAGTGCTGAAGTTACTTGTAATTTCAGCACCAGAGAGATTTGAATTTAACTTAGAAATTAGTTGGACTCTCCCGAGCACTTCAGCAGCCGCAATAAACCAGTATACCCTAGATCTATTGAGCCTAGCAGAGACTAGTTAAACAACCTGAGACTAGATAGTATAAGAGTAAGATTAGGATCGGTATTAGACTAAGAAGTTGCACGAATCTATCCGGCCGAAAATAAGATAGCGTGACGAGCAGACGGTGTACCCTATCCGAAATTACTCTATGAGTTAACCAAACTCGGTCCTAACTCATCTGGTGCGACCATAAGTCTCGAACAAGACCTTAATAGCTTAGAATTAACCAAAATAGATTAGAAATTAGACAAAAACATTTAAAAAATGTTATACGACAATAATTTAATCGAAATGTCTCTACGACTCAATAGATCAGAGCCAATATTCCGAACCATAACAGAACTACCCGGAATTGGAAGAAGACCTCGAACCAGAGACGACATACGACAAAGTAGAAACTTGCCATATAGCTATATGATAGTTAGGCAAAAACCAGAACAAACTTTTATATTTAGAATACTACTAGCAATGAATTTAGATTTTCATTTGCAAACATAAAACCTTGAAGTTAATCTTCAAAATCATTTCAGGCGCTAAACAAAATTATTAATATACAATAACGATTGATAAAAAGATCTAAGATCGTTTTCCTAAAACTCTGCAGTAATATACAAAACATGTTTGAAAAATATTTATTGAAAAATAAAAATAAAAATTAGTAGCATGACAATAAATGGTTAGTAATCATAAATCATCCTGTTGTTCCAGCTCCATCATCTAAAACATAACAGCAATCATAAACCCACTAATATCATCAAAACACTAAATCTTTCCTTTACACACATTTAAAATTTTATTAAAACTTAAATTCACTTAATTTTAAAACCAGATCATCAAGGCTTATCCTTGGATCTTAAATCATTTTCTACTTAATTAAATTTCAAATTTGATCATCAAGGCTTATCCTTGGATCAAACAGAACAACTTTGTTCTCCCCCACCCACTTAATTAGTGTCTAACGACCTCAAACGTCGATTCACTACCCAACCCTTTCTAAAGACCTAAGACTAATAGAAATTTTTAAACAAAACTAATCATTCAAATTAGGATAAACAGTGAAGAACTTCGGTTATTCATCCTTCACTTGACCCCCCCTCTTACCAGACCCAGGATAAATCTTAGACTTAGTAAGTTTAAAATAGTATCTAACGAACTACTCGCGTTCTAATTATACCTGAACCTTGTGGATCGATTTACTATTCTCCAACCCTTGAACACAATCACTACCCCTAAGTAAGATTAAGTAAGTTAACACCTTAACTTATACTAGCCACGAGAAAGTAAAAAATCATTCTTCGGAATCGATATACTTTTCTCTCCAACCCTGAACAAACAGACCCAGGTTAAGCTAACCAAAAAATCGTAAGAACTAACAGTTTAAGAAAAATAGAAACCATTTAACAACCTTTTGCATCCGTCATCCTAAACCTTATGTCATTTAAAAACCTAGGAAATAACAAAAAACAATCGTTTTACACAATTGTGAAATAGATAACAAAAAATACGACCTTGTAATCACACCTCATACACAAACAGTTGGATACATTCGAACAAAACGACAAACACTAAAAAGAAAAATAATAACGAAACAAAGACAAATAACACGAAAAAGATTTTCAAAAAATCGAAACGCATTTTCAGAATCAGAAACCAACAGTTTAGACGAACTTTACAAACTAAAAGAATCAATAGATAAAAATTGCCCACTTCACGATCAATTATATTTTTCTGACTCAGAAACAACTTCAAATTCATCAAAAAGAGGAAAAAGAAGAATAAAAAAGCAGTATAAACACAAACCAGTACATTTATACAATTGGAATCAACCAATTCGACACATTAATAATTACATATTAACAGTCATCGAACGAAAAAATGAGCTCAACGCACACCCCAGGTGAAGAAAGTCCAGATGAAGATGAAATCTTTCCTTTTATAGTAGATGCAACCACTGATAGAGGACAGCATATATTTTGCAAAAATTTACTCTTAAATTTATTTGAACCCGGAATCAGTCCATGTAAAACAGAGTTCCCAGATGTAAAAATCAAAAGACAAATCATAGACCACTACTTAAAAGATATATGCAACATAACACAACAGTATGGAATCTACTCCATAGAATTCACCTCACCAAACCATAATAATAGAAAATATACAATTCAAACAGACGACCTTGATTTAGAATTTTCAAAAGTTTTTTCAGAATATATAAAAAGCATCCAATATCAAAACTCACAAAGAGCAAACTCCATATTCACCAATGAAGTTTTCGCAATAATATATAGTTATATTTCGATATTAGAAAACGAAATCCCAATAACAAATGTCTCACCGACAGAAACATCTAAACATTTGAAAGTACGACATGAAATCACACTACTCTCTAGTTATTTAAACATCATTAAAGAAAATTTCACGAAAGACGACGTTTCACAACATACAAAACACGATCTACAAAAAATTTTGGCATGGTTCATAATAGATTATTTCACACACAATATTGATTTAATTGCACAAGCAAGAAAAAATTTTAGACCCCAAAACTCGAACGATGATACCGCTATCACAGAACAATCAGATTATGTTTGGGACCCCGAATGGTCTCATCCCGCATTTATAAGCTTCCCACAATCAATCTCAAGTCAAGCAATAAGTACGATATCTTACATAAGAGATTATGTAAAAGTAATACCATTAACCATTGATGCAACACCATTAAACTATAATACATTTTTGCCCGATACACAAAATAATAGTTTAAACTCCACAGTTATACACAATGAAAACCTCAATGGAACTAGGAATCTTACTCAACAAGATATCCAGACACCATCACACTTCATAAATGAAGAAATTGTACACACAACAACTACACAACAAAGTATTTCACCAATACGCCCAAATTTAACAACACCAAGAAATACAAATCCTTCACAAACACAGGTAACCTTACAATCAACCGTTAAACCTTCGGTTGCTCCTAAATATTCACATATGGATTACCAAACATACAGACCCATGACAATACCATCAAAAACACACAAAACATTGACTAGAAACAACTTTGCAGACCATAATTATAATTATACACATCCATCAAAAACATATAATCAACCACAAAGAAATTTTAACCAATATACAAGATCTCGAAATTGGGATAACCCAATGACCCAACCTAATTCAATAAATTTCCAAACAAATCCTCCACAGGATCACAGTGAAAATTACCCATTTTTTCAACAAAATAAAAGTAAAAAACAGACATCTTATCAAATGGATTATTTATCCTCAGATGATGATTTCTTACAACCAGATATATTTGCACCAAATACTCAAGAATATCGTAAAACAAAATGCTTGAATACAAACCACATTTATCAAAATATACAAAAAGAACAACCCAAAGAAAAAATTTGGACAATACCATTTCTCTTAGAAAGCCCAAGAAATAAAGAATTTCAACCACCAGACCTTGAAATAGATTTTTTAATTGATTCAGGAGCAGAATCAAACATAATAAACATCCCCACATGGAATGAAATAAAAACTTTACACCCAAAGCTAACACCTCTTGAAACCTCCAGTAAGTTAGCAACAGCACAAGGATCAACATTGATAAACTACGGAAAAATCCAATTATTTCTCCTCCCCACCAGAACAATGGAGCAAAGCAAAATTTTAAATAAGCCATTTAAACAAATATTCCATATCACTGACATTAAATATAATATCATTGGAATACCATTTATTTCGAAATATATACCAACAATCAACATCTTGAATAGTAAAATATTGATCAAAGATAAATATACAAAAACAAAAGACACATCCCTAACATTTTTTCAAAGATTAAATAAACAACCACCATTCTTTTCAAAATTTTACCCAATATATAACCAACAAAGAAAACACTTGAAACCACTATCAGGAAACATCTATAATTTTTCAATCAAACAAGTTCACCAATATGATAAAGAACAAAACAAACAAAAATTTTATATGTCAGATTTTGAATTCAAACCTATTCACAAATTTTTCAAAATCACAATCTCATCCATAAAATATTTGAAAAATTCGAATTCAGATATCATTACCTTACATGTCTATAACAACACACCTTACCAAGTAACATTACCTTTAGGACTTTTAGGATATTGTGAAACCAACGCTACAATATCACCAATACACGAAAAAGCCTATCGCGTAAATAATATACTCCAATTACTAGATATTTGCCAATCTACAATTCTTAATGAAGAATTATCTATAAATAATATAATAAGTAACGAAAACAGAAATACGGATTATTTCACAAAAACTCCATATTTCAAACCTACATTCAACATAAGTACCTACACAGAGGACCAACAGAAATTTTTAACAATGTTTAATTTCCAACATTCACAAATAACACAAGACGAATTCGAAAAGTTAGCCAAACAGCTAATTAAATATTCGTCAGTCTATGCAACATCAAAATTCGATGTTGGAA